TCACAATCAATTTTTCATAAAAATCCTGATAATGAATCAACAATAAAGACAATTACTGATCATATCGACTGTGAATCTTCTAAAGTTGCAAACAATTCGTCTAATAATATTAAACAAGACGAAATTATTAACTGTAAAGATCATCAATTACAAATAGAAGACAATGAAGACGAACATCATTTCGATACATTTATTTTACAACATTTTGTTCCATTATCTGGTAAACAATCAGTTAATCAATGGTTAGATGAAACTGAAAGTAAATTTAACCACTTCAAAATTTCTCGACATTTACGTTTCGAATCAATCTCACTTCTCGTTGAAGGGGATGCTAAACGTTTTTATATTAAAAATCGTAACGAAATTCGTTCTTATGACGATTTTTACGAATTTTTATTATTACATTTCGATAAAACTAGTCCCAATTCTTCTCAAGAACAATCTCATTCAACATGTATTATTAATACTTCCAATCAACAAACATCAAATCACGCTGAACAAACTATCGATTCTACAGAAAAATCAACAGATAGTTATGATACCACAACATTTACTCGTCCATCATCTACACATCCTCCCACTACTGTTGTTGATGTTGGTACCACCAATATTACTGGTGAGATACTAGACCATAAATCAACAACCATTATTACAGATACTCCCACAATTCTGTTTGATCAAACTACGAATGATCTTCGAAAAGCAATTCTAGAGGATTTCATTAAACATCCTAAAATATTTAAAGGTGGTAAAGATAATGTAAATAAATGGATCGAGGATATCGAACACATGTTAGATATCGCACATGTTCGCGATCCTAGTCGATTAGATTTAATCTCCTATTCTTTACGTGGTGATGCTCTTCAATGGTACAAAAATAATAAAACTTTATTTACTTCGTGGTCAACTTTTATATATGAAATTAAACGAACATTCACTTCCTCGTTTCATGAAGAATTAGCATTCAAAAAATTAGAATCCTATACACAAGGGGAAAACCAATCAATTCGAAATTTCTTCAATGAAGTGTTAAAGTTATGTAAAGAAGCTGATCCTACTATGAGCGAAACAACCAAGTTAAAAAATCTTCTCAATAAAACCAAATCAACAATCCAATTCGAAGTTCGAAAGAAAAAGCCTACTACTACTGGTGAATTTCTTGAATACGCTAAAGATGTAGAAGAATTATTTCAATTATCAAACATTAACATCGAT